GGAGCCCTCACTGGGCTAGACTCGGGGACAGGAGCTCACACGGGAGCGAGCTCTGGGGCTGGCACCAACTGCCTTTTCCTCCCCTTTAGGTTACGGGTGAATAGGGCAGCCAGCGGGCTTGACATTGCAGCGGCCGGCGGGTTTGACCTTGGATGGAACGAATGGGTGATGCCTCTGGATTGGCGGCGAGGAGACAGGATCCGCTGACGAACCAAGCCACGTTGATGTAATCGGTTGATCTAAACCACCATCTGCTGAGCGATCCCCTCATCCAGACCACCACAGAAACAGTCTACAAGAGCCCACCGGTCGAGGGTAGTCTGCTTGGAGCAGGTGAGGAATTCTTTGATGTACTCTTCCAGGGAACTGCCGTCTTGACAAATAGAACATAACTGCTCCAGGGGATCCAATAGAAAAATCTAAAGAAAAAACAAAAAAGAGAGAAAGAAAAAAAGAAAACAAAACGGGGAGAAGGGGCACCGCTTACATTTTGCTTTTGGTCCGGTATTCTGTCACGTTGCTACTGTGAGGAGACGAGGAGTACATCAACAATGAGATTTTAATGACATCGAGGGAACCAGGAAAACAGACGTAGCAGGAGAGGTATACACACACAGACATTCAATACCAGATGACCAAACAATGAAAAACACAGGGCTTAAGTACTCTGAACTAAATGGGGAACACCTGGAAATAATGACATAATAAACATAGGAAACACCTGGGACAAATAAACCTAATCAGGGAACAGGAACAGGAAGACCAAATAAGGGCATAAACATAACATGGAGCACGTGGGGAACAAAACACAACACAAGACAGAAACAGAGTCTGGCAGTCATCCAGTAAGAATATAGAGCTTTAAAATAAATGTGGATGATCAGATCAGATCATTTAATCTTGTGAGAATTTGATCAAAAACACCAACAAAAATCTATAATTAGATATTATAGAGATGTATTAATCTACAAAGAACCTTAAAGCAACTCACAAAAAACAGTTAGACCAACTTTATTTTTAATTTAACACAGAATTGTGAATATTGTGGCTTATATATTCTCTTTCTTTTTTATAGAGATATATTTCATATCTCTGGATATGAAGCATCTGTTCCATCAAGCAGTGATGCACGATGTAGTTGATGAGTGAATGTTAGTACAGAAGACTTTCCTGCAGCGGCGCTGGATGAGAATCAGGATTAAACTCATATAATACTGTGAGATATTCTACAGCAGCCGTCATGTGAGGTGTGACTTCAGTGATTCACACAAACACTCATTAGATCAGCTCACACACACACACACACACACATACACACACACACATACACACACACACACACAAGACCTGGATGTTAGAGAGGAGGTGAAGCAAAGCAAGATGAGGAGAGGCCGGAGAAAAGGAGGCAATCGGGACAAAGTGTTCGGATGCAACCTGCTGGAGCACCTCAACTCCACCGGACAGGACAGTGAGTTCATTCTCACACACACACACACACACTCACTCACTCACTCACTCACTCTCTCTCTCTCTCCCACACACACACACACTCTCTCTCACTCACTCACTCACTCA